AGTGCCTGGGAGCCTAAAGTGAAAGCAGCTGACTGTCATTGCATGTGGTGCTCGACAAACACTCCAGTGGCAACACTCGCAAGTCAAAGCAGCTGACTGTGATTGCATGTGGTGCACGGCAAACACTCTAGGCATGCATGCAACACTCCACGGGTAAATGCAAAACTGGCGGCTTGTCTTCGAAGAGCCGCGGCGGCCTTCGGCAGGAAACCTCGGTGGAACTGAGTGAAACCTGGGAGCCTAAAGTGCCTGGGAGCCTAAAGTGAAAGCAGCTGACTGTCATTGCATGTGGTGCTCGACAAACGCTCCAGTGGCAACACTCGCAAGTCAAAGCAGCTGACTGTGATTGCATGTGGTGCACGGCAAACACTCTAGGCATGCATGCAACACTCCACGGGTGCATGCAAAACTGGCGGCTCGTCTTCAAACTTCGAAGAGCCGCGGCGGCCGTCGGCAGGGGTTCAAAACCTCAGTGGAACTGACTGAAAGCCTAAAGTGCCTGGGAGCCTAAAGTGCCTGGGAGCCTAAAGTGAAAGCAGCTGACTGTCATTGCATGTGGTGCTCGGCAAACACTCCAGTGGCAACACTCGCAAGTCAAAGCAGCTGACTGTGATTGCATGTGGCGCGCGGCAAACACTCTAGGCATGCATGCAACACTCCACGGGTAAATGCAAAACTAGCGGCTTGTCTTCGAAGAGCCGCGGCGGCCGTCGGAGGAAACCTCAGTGGAACTGTCTGACTGAAACCTGGGAGCCTAAAGTGCCTGGGAGCCTAAACTGAAAGCAGCTGACTGTCATTGCATGTGGTGCTCGGCAAACACTCCAGTGGCAACACTCGCAAGTCAAAGCAGCTGACTCTGATTGCATGTGGTGCACGGCAAACACTCAAGGCATGCATGCAACACTCCACGGGTAAATGCAAAACTGGCGGCTTGTCTTCGAAGAGCCGCGGCGGCCGTCGGCAGGAAACCTCAGTGGAACTGACTGAAACCTGGGAGCCTAAAGTGCCTGGGAGCCTAAAGTGCCTGGGAGCCGCCGTGACAGGAATCGCAAGTCAAAGCAGCTGACTGTCATTGCATTTCATGCTATAATATGATTTTTGCTCTCGTCCTGCCCCCCCCCCCCACCCCCCTGAGGCTGCGGCTGCGGCTGCGGCCACAGCCGAAGAGTGATCACGACGAAGTCCATGAAGACATGGCGGCACGGGTTAGGGGTGGGCCTTGAGCCTGGCAGCCTGGGAGCCTTGGAGCCACCACCTACTGTAGTCTGACTGACTGAGCCTGGACCTGCATGCTGGGGTCTGACCGAGCCTGGTGCATTGTTCTGGGTCTGTGCATGCATGCTGGGGTCTGACCCAGCCTGGTGCATTGTTCTGGGTCTGACCGAGCCTCGTGCATTGGTCTGTGCATGCATGCTGGGGTCTGACCGAGCCTGGTGCATTGTTCTGGGTCTGTGCATGCATGCTGGGGTCTGACCCAGCCTGGTGCATTGTTCTGGGTCTGTCTGACCGAGCCTCGTGCATTGGTCTGTGCATGCATGCTGGGGTCTGACCGAGCCTGGTGCATTGTTCTGGGTCTGTGCATGCACGCTGGGGCCTCGGTCGGGGATGCACGGGCATCCCTCACCCCCGCAAGATGTCAGTGGTGGGACCACAGACATCTTGCGGGGGTGATGGATGTCTCTATCCATGCACGCTGGGGCCTCGGTCGGGGTTCATGCACGCACATCCTTCACCCCTGCAAGATGTCGGTGGTGGGACCACAGACATCTTGCAGGGGTGAGGGATGTCCGTGCATCCCCCGACAGGCATCAACTCCAACCAGGTGTTTCCACTGGAAACACCTGGTTGGATTGATGCCTGGTCTGACCCCTCGAGCCTGAAGGCTGCAGTTGGTTGTATGCAATGAACCCCACAAAACACCAAAAAATTAAAAATCCCCGAAACGGCCACCAAGTAGATATAGATATAGATATAGATATAGATATAGATGTAGATGTATATGTATATGTATATGTATGTCGTCGATCTCAGAACCACGACACGCACATAGCTATCCGCATATATGCTGTATAGACCACATGCATGCATGCATGCATGTGGTGCATGCAGGAGTCCTGCAATAGTCAGGCTCGGTAATATGCTGGACTCGGTGGCTTGGCAGCAGAACAGTCATTGGTGTCTGTTGAGAGAGAGGAATGCTGAGGGCGTGGAATCTGGAAATGTAGCCGTATAAGGTTAAGTCTCAGAAGTCTTCGCGCCTCTCTACGGCCTCTACTGCTGCGAGTATCTGCTCCTCCAAAGGATCCGATGTGTTCTGGCTTGCACCAGTACTAGTTACTAGTCACAGAGAGGCTGAGCATTGGACACATTCTAAGCTATAGCCACTCAGGCTGACAGCAAAAGGAAGGCAGAGAAGAGCAGCCCGGAAGCACCAACGGCTGAGGAGCGGAAGAAGCAAAAGCTTGCCAAAGTTCCTGCTGCACAGGGCATGGACCCAAAGGCGGCAGCTGCTCGTTGCGCCATTCCAATAGCCGCAAGCCGCAAACCTTAATTGAGAAAGGCTTCGTGCATACGGCTTTCCAGATCTTGGGTTTTACATATCCTGTGCCCTGCATGCAGGTGTCCAAGAAGCCTTGCGAGGGAAGTGGTGGTTCCAAGCCACAAGCCGAGGCTAGGCCTTGAAATATGCTTGGTGCTTGCACATGCATGCTGATTGCGAGTGTCATGTATACAGTACTTATCGAGTTCGCGGTGTTGAGGCGTCGAAGCTGTGAAGAAGGGTCCTGGAGCTTCCCAAGAAGAAGCTACGGGAAAGGTGGCAAAGACTGGAGAAGCAGCTGCTGTTGCTCTCAAAGCTTCCAAGCCGCAAGCCGAGGCCGCGCCTTGATATGTGCTTGTTGCCTAGACATATGCAGATGCCCAACGATCAAGTGTGTGACATAGCATATAGTAAAGATATAGCCGCCGGTTTTCAGGTGTCCACTAAGAAGCCGGGTGATGGAAGTGGCCTGGAGAAGAAGCGAGCTTCCGAAGCCTCGGCTCCGGAAAAGGTGGCTAAGACAGTTGTTGAAACACGCTTCCCAGTACCATTTCATGTACATATGTGAAGGCCATGATAAGTGTAGCTAAGTGCTGACTTGATCGACGTATTTGGCTCAAGACAAAAGACGGTTGCATTGCACCTTGTCTTGCTGTTTTCAACTGGTTAACAGCCTCACGTGTACTCTACATATATCTTGTCGGTAGAGAATCCTCCCGACGCCATCGTGTGTGCTATCGTGGAGTAGAGCCACCCCGACAGCACTTTCCATATCAGACTGGTCCATAGTGTATGTGCATCAGTCTTCAGGACTTCAGAGAGTATTGCCGAGAATTGTCAATTTCTGATTCTGCATTCGCCGACTTGTGCTCAGATTGCAAACAAGCCGTCAAGCAGTTTGTCCTTTCAAGATTGTTTCCCGAATATTGGTTGCGACGTACACAGCAACAGCTCAAGCAGATTAGGTGTAAGGTCAGGTGGGTAAGACTACTCCGTTGTCTAGTCAGAAGACGGAAACAGAGAGCGAGGAACGAAGCCCAACTATTGCTCCTGGGACGACGACCTAGGGCAGTGGACATCCCTCGCTACTTTCCCTGACCCGATCTTTCGCCGGACTGGGGCAAGGCCTTTTCCGGTGTGCTCGAGTTGACTGCTCTCGCAAAGGCGTGAATCCGTCGGGCATCTGCATCCCCAACCTGCGTCCCAAAGCCCTGTTCACGGGTTAGTAGGATAGGTTTGTCCTTGGCAGGGGGGTACAGTCGGAAGCCAAAGTGGCTGCAGGTTAGTGGAGGTTTGGGTGTTGGTGTGCGGATTTGAGGCTCCCGGCCTCTCCCTTCAACGTCCCAACCCGCTGTGGTTACGGCACTTGCCGAACTACGAGCACTGCCCTGAACAGCCTGCGACAAACATAAGATTCCTCACAAACTGGTATTTGGTACTTCGAGGTTCCTGGTGTGTTGATTGAGGTTCCCCTCTCCTCACTTGAGATCTCAGTGTCATTGTTGGTGGTTGACGGCACCCTGCCGCTCCACCATTGATCATTCCTTTCGGATTCATTGTCAAAGACTTCGGAATTGCTCCCGCAGTGTTGATTTCAAGGTTGCCCTTGTGGGAAATCCACGGGGTTGTGCGTTGCACAGTGTATACCCCGCTTGGGAAATCCGGCGGTGGTGGGAGTTGGTATCAACCTGGGTTAGATTTGGGTAACCTTTTCTTCGCCTAAAGGTAGTCCTCTGAACACTGTGCGGCCCGCTACCTTTGTCTCACCACAATACGACGCTCTGATGGGCCTGGAAGGCTTTTTGGCAGAACGTAACTTGGATCTTGCATCCCTCCTAGAGAGAGTACAGGCAAGGGGGGGACACAGCAAACAAGTTTACGCACGTCGCCGCTGCGGATTTCTTGCTATTCTAACGTGGCTATCTGGATACTTGGCAGGCAATACAACTGGGAGCGCCAGACAACGTGAGCGAAGGGCTCAGCGTATAAGGCGGCGAAGGGAGGATTTGGAAGCGCCCAACGCTCGACCTGAGCGAGGAGAACAGCTTCTTGAATGGTCTACTGACGAAGAGGAGGCAACTCCCCGTCAGCGTTCGCGAAGCCCTGCGCGATCTTCTTCATCTTTTGGCTTAGGCGAACAAAAGGGGTTTGATTCGGGGTCAGTAGGGATAAACATTCCTCCTAAGCCCCCAACTCCTAGACCAAAGGCTCCATCAGGAAGCCGTACGCCAACGCCTCCCCCAGGTCGTGCAGCTGTCCCGAAGGAACGGGCATTTTCACCTCCTGCGTCTGCCGCTGCTGCTCCATCTTCAACTTCATCTGGTGTTGCAGCCATTCCGACGGAGCCAGCTCATTTAGGCTTGGTTGCCGTGCCTAAGACAAAGCCACGTCCTAAGGCAAGACCTGCCGCTTTGGTCGTTGACGATCCTCCCGTAGCACCTCCCGTTGCACCTCCGCCCAGGGTGTACCGGTGTACTCATTGGATTGGCCCGTGGAGCATTCTTACGACCTTCGCACATTTGCTGAACAGCTGCTGCGTAACGTCAACATTTCCCAGTCGCAATCGGTAAGTCTGGTATCGCTTGATCAGCACAAAGTGCTTGACGCCGTCGACATTGCACAGGCTCGATCCATATTCAGCCTGCTTGGGGATTTGCACGACGCGGCATTGTTGGTGTGTTCCTACGCTCCAGAGGGCTCTGGCAACAGGCGCAAGACATATAACTTTGTTCAAAGCGTGTCTCGCTATACTGCTCAGTCTGTGAGCTTGGTCCACACCTCGGCTAAGATATTCGGGCCTAGGGCCAAAGCAGCCTTTTTGGACGCGTTGTTTACGGAAGCTGGGAATATCTTGGATCCCCTTCCCTTAACGATTTGGCACTTCGACGACTCAGGGGACATTGTGCAAGCCATTGAGCGCCTGGGTAACTCTCGCATTCGTGCTCGACAGTGGGACGGCTCTCGCTCGCAGCGGTACTCCTTGCTAGAGCACATCCGGTTCGAGCTCGGCCTGTAAAATCAGTATGCAGGAGTTATCTGACCTAAGCCTCACCACCTCCAGCAGTTCAGCCACTGCTGCCATGGCAGCCCCGAATGCTGATAACACCCAAGTGTCGACATCGTCATCGTCCAACCGGGAACGAAGCCCTGTCAGAACCATTGCACCCATTAGGCGTAACACTCCTACCTCGCGACATGGTTCGCAGACATCTTCGCCCCATGGTTCACAAGCTTCTAATCCAGCGATATTCAGCATTGGGGAGTCGTCCACTGGAAGTGCTAGGAATCCTTCTCCAGCATCTGTCCATCTACATCAAACCAATCAACAGCTCAACATTGGCGCTGACCCGAGACTGATAGGACGTATTGCTGCTGAGGCACAGCGACATGTGTCGAATGTTACGGCTAATGCCGAACAAGCTGTGAGTCAAGCCACTGCAGTTTCACAGCAGACGAGACAACAAGCTGAGCATGTAGTTTCGCAGGCACAAGCCGAAACACAGCAAACAAGACAGCAAGCGGAGCATCTTGTTCATCTGGCACAAGCCGAAGCAACACGAACAAGAATTCAGGCCGAACAACATGAAGCCTATGTGAACTCACACATGAGCGAGCTACGCTCCGAGCTGTCCGAGTGCCTTCAGTCACAAGCTGTCTTTATGCAAACATTGAACAGTCAGCGTGAGATCATGCAGACTTTGGAACAGAACTCCGAAACATTGATGCAAAAGCTTCGCACTTCTGAAGCCAATCATGCTGAGAGCGAATTGGTGATTTCTAGATTGCGGTTGGAGTTGGCTAACCAAGAATCTCGAAATGGCGCGGATACGCAACAGCCACCCGTAGGAGACATCACAACTCTCATGCAGCAAGTCGCCGAAACAGCACGTAGACTTGAAGCATCTGCGCAGAGCTTTGGTTTGAGCCCAAAGGGTCATAGGAAGAATAAGCCAACACCAAAGGTTCAGGCTTCAGTTCCCATTGCTCCTAGCAGTTGCTCCGGAAAGGCTGGAAGTGTTTCATCCTCTCAGGTGTTGTTCCCTACATCACTCCGGGGTACATCGCATGGGTACGGCACTCCCGCCGGCCCTTGCACGAACGTTCCTCCTCCGCCTGTTCCTGCTAGGTCACCATCTGCATCGCCTCTTGCATTTCAGATTGGAACTGATGACGAGGGGGGTGATCCAGAGGAGCCTGATGATGATCCGATTCAGGATGACGATGAAGTGCCTCATCCCCTGCCTTCTTCAGTGTCCCAGATAAAAGAAGAAGACGTGTATCGGTCAAAAGAACTTAAGGACCTGAAGCCAACCGTTCCACAGAACGCTGGAGGTTTCCGTGCCTTTCGTAATGCCATGCTGACGACCTTTGCTGCAATAGATAAAACAGGAGCAGGGATTATCCTGAAATGGCTTCAGGCAGCCCTTGATCCATCCATTACGGCGCAGGCTTCAAGGCAGCTCGAGCAGGATCGCGGCGGTCTTCCGCGATTGGACGCACACTTGGCAACATTGATGGCAGACAACAAAGTGTTGAAGGGAGATTTCGGAGTTAGTGCGCAGGGTTACATTGAGACGTCCCACCGGAAGTCACAACAGCCGTGTGGTAGGGTTCTTTTAGCCTTGTTCTCTAAGCAATTTCGGATCGACAGGGTTCGAGGTACAACAATGTCCCAGCAAACGTTGTTAGGCATTCAGCTCGAAGGATACAGCCCGGCACACTTGACGACGTTCAAGGAGCGTGTAGAAATAAGTGTAGAATACATGCTGAATGGGATGTTGGAGTCTGAGTGGCCTAGCGAGGAGACTTTATTTCAGTTCGCGTATGGTCGCCTGAAACCGTATCGTGGTCTAGCTAGGGTCATTGAGCGAATCAAGGAATCACCGAAAGGTTCGACAAAGCGATCTTTTAGCTGGATTTGGTCGAAGCTGACCGAGCATCTCCACGAACTCAAAGAGGATCAGAACGAACAGTCCATTCGGGAGGCCCTCCTAGGCAAAACAACCAAGCCACAGGAGAAAGCCACGCCAGCAAAGCCGGTGCCGAAGACTAAACCCACTCCTGCTAGTCCTGCCCCCACAACTACGCCAAAGCGTAAAGGGAAAGGCAAGGGCGACAACACACAGAGAGATTCTGTCCGAACCGAAGGCAAAGCCGAAACCAAAGCCAAAGGCAAAAACGGAGCCAGCAAAGGCAGGTGCTAAAGCGACAATTCCGTGCAAGTTTTATGCACAAGGCAATTGCAATCGCGGCACAGCATGTCCATTCTCCCACGAGGCACCCAAGGCTGGGCCGCCAAAGGCGAAGCCCACTGCAGCTAATGCTAAGGCTAATGCCGCAGCGACAGTTGCACTTGTGTTGCCGAGTAGCGCCAAAGCACATTCCCCCAGTAAAGCTTCCACAGTCAAGCATGGGTGGTTTGCGCGCGCCTTTCGTGTGCTGTGTTCCTACTTCTCTTGTGTGTCGCCTGAGTTGGCATGCCCTGCAGCTGTCACATCCACTGTAACGGTTGCAGCAAACGTCATGTCTGGAGCTCCATACTTCCATGAGTTCATTGCTGATTCAGGAGCAGGTCGATCACTCGAGTCTCGCTCGTCGTTGATTGATCAGGGTATTCCAGGGACTGAGTTCAGCCAGAAAGTGAGGGATGATGACAAAGTTGTTTTCTCCACAGGCAATGGAAAGGTGACTTCTTCCAAGTCCCTTGGGTTCGATGGTGAAACGTTTGGTTCATGGAAATCATATGTCCTAGACTCCTGTCCAAGTGTTCGGAGTATGGGTGAGATTGTTGAGCTTCAGGGCCTTCGTTTGTTTGGATACCAGGACAAATGCCCGCCTTCCTACAACCTGGCACCGAAGTTCACTTCGATGAATCATCTGCTCATTTTGCTTGCCGACTTGAAGGGTTCGTGCCGATCTTTCGGGATCGTGCGCGATTCGCACTGCCTGCATCTCAACATGCTTCTTCGTCTAAAGATGTGCCCGATGGTGAGGTTGTAGCTCCGGGTGATACGGCATTTGAGCCGGTCCCCGATGATGATGCGCCTGCTGTTGATGGTCCTGAGGATGAAGAAGTTGTTGATCTGAGTAGGGAACAGGAATTAGTGCGACAAGCCAATAGCATTGAGCACAAGATGCTGCACATTCCAAAGAACCCTTACTGCAGCATATGCCGTAGGAGCAAGATGTACCAACGACGGCACAAGAAGAGACAGGAACCTTTGGTTGACAGAGGAAACCTTGAACCCGTTGACAAATTTGCACAACGGTTGGCCACTGACTATATAGTGCCAACTCGCAGCGATGGTCCCTCGGTTCAGGTTATTCGAGACGAATTCTCGGGTCTACTGCGGGCTTATGTAGGCAAGCGGACTGCCGAGAATGCTGCGCGTAATCTTCTGCAGTTCGTCGGAGCCGCAGCCTCGGACACACCAAACGTTCTTGTGAAAACGGATTGTGATCGTTCTCTTACATCAGCAATATCACAAGTTGGTTGGGCACAGGAGCCATCGCTCCAGAATCGATGGCCTCACAACTCACAGCTTGAGCGGCACATTCGTACTCTAGAAGAAACCACCCGAGCATCACATTTAGGAGCCGGGTTTCACCTTCTTCAGGGCTTATGGCCGGTTTCGGTTGCGTACGCGGCTAATGCTTTGAACATCGTGAAATGGAAAGGTGAAACAACCTTTTACGAACTGGCCACTGGTACACCTTTTGGTGGGCCTAGGCTAGCGTTAGGTCGCCTTGTGCACTACCGTGTTCACGATGCCTCAAAACGTGAAAAGTTTGATGCCAGTACGTTGCCAGGTGTGTTTGCCGGCTGGAAATTGGATGCTGCGTCTGTCTACAAAGGTGTTGTGTATGTCTTAGACTACAACAAACTTCGGAGTAAGGCTATCGGGTTTGAGTTTCCAGTAGCTGTGCCCTTTGAGGAAGTGTTTGTTCCGGACGAAGAAACATTTCCGATGCGAGTCGCCGCTGACCGCGCGCTTGCTGAATTCAAGGAGGCGGCACTGGATGAGATCACAGCTCTGGATATTCCATTTTCGGAGATCACTTGTAGTCGTGAGGCAATTCGTAAACGAAACGAATACATAACGCTTGACCGGGTGATCAAATTTGGACCTACTCCGGGCTGCGGCGCATGTGCGTTTGAAACCAAGACGCACACACCCGTCTGCCGAGCACGGTTCAACGCCCTCGTCAAGGCGGACCGCATCTCGAAACCATCGAAGCCGCCCGTGACCGTTGCTGACGATGACAAAAGCAAGGATGATGGTACGGCAGTGCCGCCGGCCACATCTGAACGTGTCGAGTTTGAAGAACTTTTCGGGGATCAGCTTCCCGAGGATTATGCTCCTAAAGACACATCACTTGGTAACAAAGAAGCTGTTTCAGAAGT